CAGTGTTTGGGTTATTACCCACCCCCCCCTCCCCCCCCCGACTTCCCCTCCCGCTCATACACACACAGGCAGATGATGAAATGTTTTCTAAAGGGCTTCTTCCCAGCAGAGGTGGCAGCTCTGCCTTTTAGCAGCTTCTTATGATCCTCCACCCCCTACAATACACACTCACGGGCTCCCGGTGACTCCCTCTTTATTCAGAGCTTGATTTCTTTTTATCAAGTCTGTCTCTTCCTCTTCTCATCCCCACCTTTTTACTCTGCTGGATACTCTTGTGTCAAATCCAATCCCTCCTTGCCTCCAACACTGTGCCTTGGCTCACCCTTGCATCTTTGTTTTCCCTCCATTATCCTCTCCACAGCCTCCATTCTCCTCCTTTCATTCTGTCTTTTTCACTGATGACTATCTCTCTTTCTGCTCTACTTTTATTTGCCTGCCTTTTTCAATGCCCGTTTTCTTCTTAAGTCGTCCCCTCAGCCTTTTTCTGTCCTCTATTCTCCCTTCACTTTAAAGCTCTGTCTCCCAGCGTTCTCTCCTCTCATCTGCGACCTCTCACCCTCTGTTTTCCCATCGCCTTTCTCTCTCCTTTTTCTTTTTGCAGCCCTTTTCTCTCTCACTCTGGGTTTTGCTGCTTTGTGGAGTCTCCCTGCTCCCAGAGGGACATTCAGCAGTAGGAAGCTAAAAAAACCAAACTGTGGGACATGAAGAAGAGAAGAGGAGCAGGAGACCCTGAAGTTGAGAGACAAGAAAGAAAATCAAGGATGAGTATTGGAATTAGGCCTGGAAAAAATAAGAAATCAATCATTTTAACCCAGTTGGGTTTATCATAAATACCAGGAGTATTATTATGATAGAATATAAAACAGTTATTGAACAGAGTTTGTTAGTATGTAGGTCTTGAATCATCCCTGCCGGTTAGAAACAACTGAACCATCTCCTGATCTACAGCTCCCACAGATGATCTAAAAATGGACACACGTGATGTGATTTAGGCCAATTCTGTTTTAATAAACTTGATTGACTCATCTAGATTTAATCAAGTTTATTTGTTCAGAGCCTCCTCTACTGACTACTCTACTTGCAATGCCCAACTTGGCCCCTGAGGGCCAGTCTCCAAACAAAACAGTGGATTAGTAAATGTCTCCAGATGAAAAAAAAACATTGATCTCACCATGACGAAGTACTCTGCTCCGATGATCATTTATTTGTCAAAAGCAAACACAAACCTAACGCAGCACAACAGACAGACTTTCAAAAACTCCCACTGACGGGTTGTGTTATTTTGTTTTGTATTCTTTTTGTTATCATTACAGTGGGTTTATCACCAGTGCTGCATGAAATATATCACCTGTCAGAATCCTCAGTGACTCACACTTTTCTCCTGTCTTTGTTTCCTCCTTTGTTTCCTCCTTTTCTTGCCCCCCCCCGTCCCTCCTGCATTCTCTCCTTTCTCTCCAGCTGTTAAACCAATTAAATGCTCACAGAGGGTTGACTGCCCACTCTCCTGTTGAGAAAAATTCATGTGATAAAAGCTTTCTCTGTGCAGTGCCATTGTGCACCAGCACGGCTGCGATGTTTAATTATGGCCTACACCCTCGCTCAGGATGGGTGAATAGATGTGGGCCGTAGGTGTCGCCACTGGAGCTGCTCAGGTTTTTTGTGTTTAGAATTGAGTGAGTGGTTTGGGAGGTTGACCAATCATGTGACAGCACATAGTCTTGACAATTGATTCTTAGTTCAGAAAAGGAAAATACATTTAAAGTGAAAGTTCAGGGTTTCAACATGTGGTCAAAGATAGAAGTGAAAGAATTTTGCTTTGCCAAACAACCCTGCGTCATTAGAACATCAGGCCCCGAGCCACAGATATTCACATTCTCCCAAACATGGCTGCAATTAAGGATCAGAGATTTAAGCCACATGCACGAGGTCGTCGACTAATGAACTTCTCTCTAAACCGAGACAGTCTTGAAAAACGATCATTTGGAATTGTCACCGAGGACGTGAGTTTAGGACTGTGTGGAAGTGAAAGACAGAACGGATGTTAAAGGGTGAGAGCGGGTGAGAAGAGAGCGAGGCTGTTAATGGTCAATGATACGACCCATAAAAAAACAAATCAATGGGCTTTAGTAAGAGCTCACTCAGAGAGAGAAAGTTTGGTAAGAGGTTGGGAGGTTAGACGAGCGATAATATCAGGAGGAAAAGAAACGGGGACAAAGAGAAGCCCAAGCTCCTCGCAGTGCCCCGTGCCTCAGGGTGGAGGACACAGGGCAGGTCCGCGGAATGTGAGGGGGAAACAAAGCCATCTACTGTCCCCCAGAGAGAGCCCTTGTTCTGGCTGGAGGGGGTACAAGGAGTCAGCCACTTGTAGGATTGATGAATGTATGGACAGACGCTGGACTATGCAGGCGGGCTCGTTCTCTCGTCCCATGGATCAAACATGGAAAGGAACCGGGGCAAGTCTGGAGAATGCAGAGTCCGATATGGGAACAAAGCCAACAACTGTTTGCTGGTGTGAGGCCCTGTCGTAGACTGCATGGCTCAAGGAGTCAGCGTCTCTGGATGGAGAATTTGATGGATTAATGGATGACAGGCAGAACAATACAGGCAGAACTACAACACACAGTACAGTCGAATGAGAAAACGGCTCTGTAAGTTAAATAAATGCCATATATTAACAAAGCATTTACCCAGTTTGTAGTGGTGTGAGTCCATACATTGTATTACGGTATCTCACAGACAAAAAACGCCCTTTGTATAAAACACACCCCATCATTTAGTTGAATTTTGTTACCAAGTGCTTTGTACTTTAGAAACCCATGGTCCCCAGTCTTTCTAAAGTGCTTTGTTAGAAACCCATGGTCCCCAGTCTTTCTCTACAGCATTAGGACTATTGTCAAGTCACAGTTTTCCACATTCAAATTTCAGTGCGCAAAGGAAATAAGATGAACCAAGCTGTGCCTCCTGTAATAGCTAAAAGTCCCCTGAAGAGGGGGCCGTCCCCCACTTTGGGATGCACTTACCTAAGCTGCACTCCTGCTTATATAAATATATAACATATATTTATATATTGTGAAAAGTTTGAGTTGGATTTTACAATAGTAAACTGAAGACCTCCCTCTGAGAAAGTAAGTGCTGCTATATTAGAGATTATATGGCCTGGCTTTTCTATCGATGATATACAGATATAGTGCCTTATACACAGCTTTTTACTTTTATTTGACTTACTGCATTAGTGGTAAAAAAATAAAATAATAAAATACCCATCTATTACTTTTATTATGGTGCATGTGTCAGACAGATATCACATTAACCAAACAGGTGTTGGTTCTTAGTGGCAGAAACTTCCCAAGTACGATTATACTGTAGATTGGCTTCAAGTGTTCTTGATGATGTGAATCACACAACAGAAAGAAAAAAAACCACGCAGAGATGGTCAAGCTGCTCTCTCTCCACTTGTGCTCGCTTCGGGAGAAACCAATCAGAGAAGTGAGCAGGACGGCCAATCAGAAGCCAATTAGGCCTTTTTGTCTGCCAGGATAAAGGAAGTAATATTGCCGCGTGATTGCACCAGTGCTGAGCCTTCCAACCTTAATTTTCCAGGAGGCTGAGACCTTGATTGCGTCTGTGCCGGCAAGAGTCAACATTACACCAAAACAATCACCACCTCTAAGGCAAAAAAAAAAAAAACTTGTCTTATTACAAGGTAGCACTGAAGTCAAGGCTGCTACACACACACATTTATGTCCTACGGTAAAGTGAATTCTATGTGAATTCTATTCATAAATTGACTTTGTTCCACTTATAAAGCTGTGAATTCAGACTCATGGTCAAGTTAACGACGTTCCTCTGAGCTGCTGCAGTGATCTTGGCAGTGAGATGGTTAAATAAGGGACTGTTTGCTTGGCTGGGAGCCTTTAAAGGCGACAGTGTGTGCTACTTTTATGGAAATGAATTTGTTTCCCTTCAGGTGTGTGAATGAAATGTGAGTAAAATGCTTTGGTTGAAAAGAGTTGATCACAGCTAGATTCTGTACACGCCTGGTCCACAGCTCTGACCTGAACGGCTGCTTTCTCTGCCAACACCTGAGGATGGCTGCACATACAACAGAGAGTCCTTATTCACCAGAAATCCACATCATCATCATCCCTACACCTGTCACAACAGTGAAATGCACAGACACACACCATGAGGTCAGATGGAAACTGAGGTTGAAGTTTGCATCTTAGTTTATTTGTCATATTTCTGAGGTCACTGTTTTACATTGAAGAGGTGAAGAGTGTCAGCACTTAAAGCTTCTTGCTGGTTCTCTTCAACACAACAGAGCCAGCCTGGGAGGTCTATAAAAGAGAAAAAATTGCCAACTAAACCTGAGGATTTCTCTTCATCGTTTTATGAAGTACCGGCCTGTGTTCTTACCTCCACCAGTTTGCCTCCACTGATCTCACAGACGTGGTGGTAGTTGGGGAAAGACGTGGTCAGCTTGCCTCCCTCCATGTTCACGGTGGCCTGAGAACACAAAGGTTACAATAAGTTCCAATCCCTTTGACATTCTTCCACCCTGGAACACGTTTCGTATCATCGTCGTTGTTGTTTACTTCATCTCTACCTTGAATTTCTTTCCTCCAATGGTCTCCATGTCGCACTCTTTGCCGATGGTGAACTTGTTGGTGACTTTAGCGTTCGTGGGGTAGATCTGAGTCCAGGAGAAGTCGTTACCTTCCTGGGTGACCTCGGTGATCAGCTTGTAGTCACGGCCCTTCTCGATGATGTCATCGGGGATACCTGGACACAGGTGGACGATGGATGTGAAGACAACAGAGACTCAGCAGGATGAACACACGTTCTGTGTCCATGAAACATTTTAGACTCGGCGTCAAACTCACCCAGCACTTTGCAGAAGGCGTCGTATCCCTCCTGGGTCTCAGTTTCCCATCGTCCAGCGAAGGCCATTTTTGCTGTTGTAGGTGGGTTGAGGTTTGCGAGCAGAGAAGCCGGAGGCAAGCTGAGGGAAATGCAAGGTGCTGGGAGGAAGACTGCTGCCGTTTATATACCTTACAACCCCCCATACCTGCATGTGATGTCACCGGAGAGAAATTACAACTGGAGATGATGATCATCATCTTACAACAGCTAAAACGAAAGGGCAATAACCCTGAAGTGAATGAAAGTTTATTATGCTCCCAGGTAGTGAATAAAGCGCTGACTGTTATTTGTGGCTAGCTGGTGGCTGACCTGCAGGTCGTAGAACTCTCCAGATATGACTTTACGATCACGGTCTGCTCTTTTACAGCAGCACAGGCTAAAATCAAATAAAAATGTTCTTTGAAAGGTCTTTCTCTCTATCTGTAGCAGTTTATCTTTAAACAGAGGATAATCCCACCTGTATAACAATAATCAGGTACAGTACACACTCAAGGTCATGTTTGCTTCAACAGACAAAATCCATCTCATTTCAAAGGATGTGTGAATGAAGTCATAATGAAATGGAAAGGCCGTAAGATAAAGAACCTGAAAGGATGACTGTTTTCAAACTGGAAACACATGAGGAGACCAGGGAAAATCTAGACTTTTAACTGTGGGGATCAAACCACTGACATTATAGCTGTTAGGCAAGAGTACTGACCACTCTTCCACCCAATGAAAAGTAATGAGTGAGAGGAATCTCTTCTCAGTTTTGAGTCAAAGACTCCAAACATTTTGAACTGACTTGTTGGCTATGAATGTTCATTATTACATTCATTACTACAATTATACCTTTACAACACACACACACACACACTCAAACACACACACAGTGAGGTCAGCATGGCCTTGAAGTCCTTCATGAAACATTGTACAGTATTTGCCAAGATCCCATAAAAAAGACACTGTTATCTCGGACATTTTATTGTCACTGTCTGTCACTTCTGCCACTCTCTTTGCCCCCTTTCCCCTCTCAAACACACACACACACACACACACACAGAAAACTAATGTTGTGCTGCATGTCCAGTAAAGTGACATGAGCTGTGAAAAACCTGAAGGAACAGATCCATTTTACAGTCTCACAAATATTGAAAGATAAATGTTTTTATGTGTTTAAATACACATGAAAACCTGAAGGAACAAATGTTTTTATGTGTTTAAATACACATTTATACATGTACAGTATGGTATAAAACTGCTATTCTGTAGAACTTAGTTCTACTGTTTGTTGGTTTGCCTGTAGCTTACGTTTTTGTAATGTGAGAGTGAAAGTGATAAAATTGATTTGCATTTACGGTTTTATTCATCGTCTCAAAGTTTAAAAAGAAAAAAGGTTCAGCCCCTCACACCAGTGGGCAAAGTTTCATTGTCCTGTAGATGATGCAACTTTGTGGTTACACTTTAATAGTAGGTAATAATTCAACTTTTCCCCCCAATCTCAATTCTACCCCGTAAAATGTGAATCATTTTGACAATGAGTAACTAAATTTACAGACCAATACCTCATGCCAAATCACATGCTGTTCAATGCTTCTGCAGTCTGTTGGTTTTGAGAAATGTTTAAGACGTTCCCCAAATGTGCAAAAAATAATTAAAAATAAAATGAACTAGGCTGAAACAGATCATATTTCATATATATATATAATGTGAATTATACTACTGTATAGCTATAAGGATTTAAATACATGCAAAAATATAATAAATACAAATACAAAAAGTACATTGTCACATATTTATTAAACAAAGAAAAACTTTGTAGTTTTACAGTATTTAAATTACTACAAAATCACTTGTAAATATATAAGGTATATATATATTAATGATATATATTTTTAATAATGTGTATATTGAAAGCACACCTATCATACGGTAATACTTTCTGAATCAAAGAGCAAATTGTTGACGACAGAGGGTAAATTACAGCTCTGACAGAAAATGAATAAATGATTCATTTAGTTTTCTCTTTTGAATTCATCCTGCTGTTCAAGGACCAACAATGTAGGATACTTTAAGACTGTAACCTGAATGAGATTCATTCTTTGTAGTCCACACACCACACCCTGTCCATATGTAAAAAACAAAAAGAGACAACTACAGGTTCGACCTCTATCTCTCCACACACATCAGTCAGCAGCCTCCTGCAGGCAGGTTTTACTCTGCAGACTTCATTCACGGGAGAAGACAAAGGTGGAGCTGCTGGTTTATTCACACAGAGTACACAGGCATGAAGCGTGGAGCTATTAGGAACAACCACACTCTAAATTACTGTCACACAGACCCAAGAACTCAGCACAGCAGTGAAAATGTTCTTGAATCACAAAATGTTTTCAATAAAACCCCAAGTTTGTTTATTTTCATAGCACTAATGGAAAAAAAAAATCTGTGATTTAACAAGGATTTGTTGAGTTTAACAAACACAGATTTATTTTAATTCTATATTTAATATCTGCCAATAACATTGTAACATAGATGGTTTAACTTCAGTATTAAACAATGTAGTATAAAGGTTTTGCAACTCTTTACTGATTATATGTTTTGTGCCACCGATATGAATAAAATATGTTAAATTTAGTATAAATTGTTTAATTATATTTTTTAGTGTTAAATGTCAGGTTTGGCTTAACTCGGATTTATCATTTGTCTGAGACTTTCAGTGTCTGGTGCACACGTGCAGAATCCGAACACAAGTTTCCTGTTTTTAGCTCACGAGCTAACAGCTGTTTTTGCTGCTTTATACTCAATCGGTGCACTTTCGTTGTAATGGCAAACTTTAGAAACGCGTGACATTATTTGTTTTGAGACTGTTACACGTTAACGTACTCTCATAATTTTAACTGAGCACGTATTACCAAATGAAACGGCGTTGTTGCTGCTGTAAAATCATTCAGACGGACACTAAATTGATGCGTTACTTCCGGTTAGCTGTTTTTAGCTCTCGTGCTAACCGGTTGTCCTGTCTGCTCAGTACATCTGTCAAAATATAAACTAGGTTATTGAAACTACAAAAATGAACACGGTAGCTGTACATCAAAAATTAAAAAAATAATTAAAAAAACAATGACCAAATTCAACTTATTGTGTTATTTATGACTGGTTTGTGAGGTGGACAACTCTTGGTTCTGCTGGTGATGATGCTGAGTAGGTGGTTGATGACTTACAGTTGCGTCACCTCCTTCTTCAATGTCAGTGTCCTGCGGAGTTACGGGTAATGTGATTGTTTGGTTGAAGGGGGATGCTGTTTCATTCTTCATGACTCCAGGGAGAGGATTATTCAGCGGCTGCTGTAAACATATTAATCATAGATTTGATATTAAACGTCAGTTAAAAACATATTGCTCTTATTTCTTCAAATCCCACTCACTAAACACTCACAGAGCAATTGCAGATGTTTTTCAAATATGTGGCCCTGACTGCAGCCTCTACGTAGGGGTACTGCAGGAAACTGTAGGGCAGCACGATGTGGAAAGTGAGGAGACCACACCTGAAGACGGAGCAGAAAGACAACAATAATCCAGATGTTACTTGTGATTTGTCTTAAGGGTTCACTAATAAATATAAATATATATAAATATCCACGGTCAGTGGTGTCCTCATGTGGACAGACAGGGTATGACACCGTCTGTAGAACGCCCGATCTCCCGTTGTCAAGTGATGAATGGTTTACTTTAACGATATATTGGTATATTGCAGCTTTAATATCTATTTTAATACGCATTTACTGAGTCACTGTTTTTTTATTTTCTATCAAATGCACTTTGTTGTCCACTATTCGTGTGTTATATTGATGGTATAATATGAAATTAATTAAATTCATAACACACTCTAGATTAAGGTCTTACCTGTCATATACTAGGAAGTCATCTTTGTCACCATCCAGAGTCTCCCACACGTCGTCTTGGAAGGGTCCCTGCTGATAGACAGGAACGTCAGGTGGCGCTCTTCTCTTCAGCTCCCAATACATGGCCCTGGACTCTGCCTCCTGCTCGTTAACAATCATGAAAGACACCCCAGTGAGGTTGCTGCGATTCAGCTTGTCACGCAGGCCTCCAATCCTACAGAGAACAGACAAAATACAGGGCGTTAACAACATCGACTTTTTATAAATTAAATTCCTTTTATAATTAACCTATTACAGCTTCTCCCGCAGAAGAAGAATGGCTCAAGAAAATAGCCGATCTGCACAAAAGACTCTGACAAATAAAAAAGGTTAAAGAAAGGTTCAGAAACGTCCTCTATGACGTTTTATTCAACGTTCCCATTGTACTTACTTGTAGGCCTGAGTGAGACAGAAGTGTCAGGTGGCCTTCAGAAGAGCCACCACCACTACATTCCCCAGCAGTTCTTTCATGGGTGCCTGCCCCTGAATCTCCCAGTGAGGGGCAGGTTTGCAGATCCTGGAGACATTTCTGTCCCCCTCCACCAGCAGAGTGGTGTGTGCGCTGAAAACCACCCCTGGTATGGCTGCACACAGCCACAGAAAAGAGACGCAGCGCATCGTTCCTCCCTAACAACAGCAAAACAATTTACATATACTTCCTAAACATCTCAAAGACATTGTGCACATTTTTGTACTACTGGTTTTTACTGCGGGAAGTCAAGAGTTAACTATATAACAATATAAATAACAAATCAACACTTCACCTTCACCAACCGTTCGCCTTTCACGTTACATGCAGTTCAAATGACAAGGAGCTGAGTGAACTATCAGTATAATCAAACAGAGAAAGAGGCCAAAAGATAAAGAAGAACTGGAACAGAGAAACATCAATAGTAAAACCCCGTAAACAAAGCCCTGGTCAGACCTTTACCTCTCATCTGTATAATTCAAAAAAACTTTAAGAAATATTACAGAAAAAATCTACAATGTTTCCAGTAGAGTTAATAATCAATAATAATAAAATATGTGAATAGATTCAAACAACTTAGCATATTATTTTGCTACTCATATACTGCTAGAATTATTTTTCTATATATAAAAAAGCCTTTACTTATAATTTAGTAGGTATAAGGTTAGTGAGAATATTTCAGCCAGCCTTCAAAGAACATAGCAGTATTAAAAACAACTAAAGAATATCTGAGCCTGAGCATTAAGTCTTACCTCTGTCCAGTGGTTTTATCCTCTGACCCACATAGGGGAAAATGTTGTTTTTTAAAGCTTCCAGGATTGACTAAGCCCCAAAACAAACACAGATTGGAAGGGGGAGACACAGAGTTACGCAAACACTTACAAACAGACACTGTTTACACTCTTCTTAAAACATTGCAGACCTGAGGTTGTACATAAAAGGTCTTTGTGTGAGTAAAGATAAAATCCTGAGTTTGCTGTTTTTGGAATAGAATATGATAGAACAGAATAGAACAAAATAGATCTATTGTACGTGTAGAATGAAATTTAGACCGGCTTCTCTCCGATCCTTAAACAAATAACAAATTAGAATATTTGTTTGTATGTCTTTTGAGTTAGGCTACTTTATATTTTAATTGAGGAATAATCGCTCATAAAACAATTCGCATTCCTTGCCACTAGACGGCGGTAGTAGTTTTTCTCGCACTTGTTGTGTAAATATTCGAACAAACCAGGAAGAGAAACAAGCCAAAAGCAGGAAGTGAGTACAGAGTAACCCGACAACTCAGCGGCTCATTTTCGCAGCCTTTTTTCATCCTCCGCTTTTCTTTTGGAGATTATACACTCTGTGCACAACAATGTCAAAGAATTCACTCTCCGACCGCTTCAGGAAAGTCGATGTGGACGAATATGACGAGAATAAGTTTGTAGACGAAGAAGAGGCAGGAGACAGCCAGGGCGGTCCGGACGAAGCAGAAGTTGACGCTTTGCTCAGACAATATCCTTTATGTTCACTTTATATTATGTGTAACGTCCTTTATTTCCAATAAGGAAATAATCACAGGTTTAATTACTTTAATATTACCCTCGAGTAACCTTTATGCTTAGCTGACGGCTAACATCAGATATATATACTATGTAGTGTATAGGTTTGTCTTAGTAAAGTGCGATGTTGCAGTAAACGTTCAAAGGGTTGGCTCAATTATAAATATAATATTTGATCATATAACCTTTACAAAAGTGTAGATAGCAGAACTCGATAAAGGTATAAGTCAGTGACCGTTTCCGGTGTTTGACAGTCAGAGGGTGTGGTCGCTTTAACTGGTTCAGTCACTGAAGATGCTAATACAGGGGTGATCGATAACATGTGGCGTTTCAAAGTGGGACTGTGTGGATTAGTCTAGATTAAAGAACAAAACACGATATGCATATGACTTTATAATACCTACTTACCCTGTGATCCTCCAAAACCAGCATCCAGCCGTCAAGTATTTCCATTTAGAACAAAAATATGTCCAGAAGATTGTAATCCTTAACTTTGTTCTGCAAAGGGAACATGAATGGTGCACTCCACGCTGTGCTAAAAAATCCACCAATCAACTCCAAGAACCAATCCAAGGTATTGCAGTTTGATTCTGCAGCAGTGTTTAGGACAGAGATGGTCGTCAATTAATCATAACTGACTGTTTCTGGTCTTTTCAGGAGCGAGCAGAGCAGCTGGTGGTCAAAGTGTTGAGCAGCTTTAAGAGCAGTGACATAGAGAAGGCTGTGGGTTCACTGGACCGTGCTGGCGTGGACCTGCTGATGAAATACATCTACAGAGGCTTTGAAAAACCCTCTGACAACAGCAGCGCTGTGCTGCTGCAGTGGCATGAAAAGGTACAGAGGCGCTCAGAAGTACACAACACACAGAAGCAAATCAGAGAATTATAAAAAATAATTAAAAAAACAAACAAATAGTAAGTGACTTGATGACACCATTTTTCTTCAGGCTCTAGCGGTAGGAGGCGTGGGCTCCATAGTCAGAGTCCTGACTGCCAGGAAAACTGTATGAATAACCAGAAGTCGGCATCTGTCTGAGGGTGGACACCGACCACTGCTCTACTGGAGCTGGACCTCTGCTGCTGCTGTGGGACATTGTCAGCTCTTTATTTTCATACTGGAACTAAGTGTCCTTTCTTCCTGCAATTCCTTTCTCTTTGATTTCCTTCTCCACATTCACAATTTTCCACCCAGGTCTTGGGAATGTGGTCCAGAGAAGATGTTTTTTTTCTCATCCTTCTCCAAGCAGATTATTGCTGCATTCAAGGAACATCCACATCACTCTGATGTCTCTGCTCCTTCACTGTAACGCCTCCTTTTCCTCTCCTCTTCACCTTCAACTCATCCAGATCAAGCAAACACAAAAGACTCCTCTTTGCAGGACTGCAGCAGACTCACAACCTGTTCAGTCTTTCCCTGCCTCCTGCATGCTGTGCATTTTATGTCTAACATTCTAAGCAAACTTCATTCATGATGGATTTTCTTTTTCTATTTTCACATCAATAAATGGTTTCTTTTCTTACCAGTGAAAAAATAAAATTCTTTTTTTATGTTTACCAAACACTGTGTTGTCTTCTAGCACTGAAAAAGTACTGGAAACCTTCTTTGGAGTCATGTAGGAAACTAGAAATAACAACAATTAGTCTGACCAGGTCTGAATCAATAAAACATGGAATAAAGATTAGATTTAGTTGAGAAGCTGTCACAAAACATTTTTTTAAATGAGAAACAAATTTCCTTTTTTTCCAAAGTAAACTTTTTTTATGAACAACTTCACAAAAGGAAAGTTGTTTTAGGATGAAACATTACAGTGCTTCAAAAGTTCATGGAACACAAAGAGACAGTGATTACATTCTAGCTAAACGTTTAGTTCACTGGGAAAAATGACAGGATCATGTTTCAGCTTTTCCTGTATTAAAGGATTAGTTCAGTGTTTTTAGCCTGGTTGAAGTCCAGTATTTGTGAAGTTTTGTCAAAATGACTCAGATGCTGCTGGTTTGATAATTGTGCCTCAAATTTTAACAGAGCTAAAACAGTGGCTCTTGGCCCCATCACTGACCGTGTCAAATGAACTAATCCTTTAATGACAGAATCCTCTTTCAGGAGCAGGTCATTGTGTGTAACATGAGAGTATTCACAATGTTGTCAGTACAAATCCCACTCTGCTTAATGACTGTTCAACCAATTGAAGCTCATCACAGTACAAATACCCTGATCTGGTTTACTCCGGAGTGTGTCCGTGGGGTGACAATAGTGTGTTGAGAAGATAACACAGAAACTACTGCACTACAGTAATTCACAGCATTTATCTTCAGTCCATTAATCCTTTACAGGGATGAGGGGGAGCTGTAACCAATCATCCCAGCAGTCACAGAGTGACGGCACCGTACAGTATTCCATGGAAATAAAGCAGAGGCTTATATCAAAAAACTTTTAAAACGCAAGTGCAAGAATACCTAAATGAGGCTAAAACCCACATATATGGAAACATATAAACATGTGTGTATATTAACACTTAGTTGCTGCTTATTTCCATGAAATACTGTTATATTTGATAAAAACACATGCAAAAAACCTGGAGTCCTTTCATTAGTTTAAAATGGTCTTCTTTACCTCACACTCTCACCCATTCTCAGTGTACCGTCCTGATGTCATGGCTACCTGCTTACTAGTCAACATGTTGTTTACTATGTTTACTCCCCTGCTGGAGTGCCGGGCATCCGGACAGAAGACATGTCAAAAAAGCAGGGACAGTATGAATGAGTTTTATATGAATCAGGTTTATAACTTTCAACACAAACCAAAATGACTGCATAATATACTACAACTGAACTGTACCGCGATGAAGAGCTGTCCCCTAACTGGAAAAAAAAAACTACTGTACTTCATGTAGTATAAGAGGGCTCTCCTGTTCAAGACTAACACACTAAAACAACCCACCCCCATAGTGGTACAGTGTGTTCTCACTGAGACTGTGGACAGAGTCCAAAGGATCTACAGTCACTGTTACCAGGAGTCCATCATACAGTATGTGGTTCACCTGCCAGCTGCAGCACTGCTCTGCTACCTTCTACTGAGAAAGATGGGGTAAACACAAAAAGATACAGAGTATATAAAACACATTTGTTTGTTGTTGTTTTGTTTTTTTTAACTTTGTACAAGAGTCTTTTCAAGGTTTGTTTTTTACTACCTTGCCCCAACCACCTTCAGACACACACTCCTCTCTTCTTGTTTGTGTTTGAGTGCTTGTACACATGTGTGTGTATGTGTTTGTGTGTACATGTAACAAAGTTCCTACTATGGAGTGTGAGTCTTCTTTTGTGTGACATCATGTATCTACTTGTGTTCTTTCGTGGGGGCAAAGTAGAGCTCCATGGGTTTGTTCACCTTCCAGTACTTTTCACTGACCAACTCCAGAGAGAAGGAACCATTCAGGACCTGGGAACAAAAACAAAGTGTGGTGACTAACCCGCTCCACCAATACTCTGCTGTCTTTATATATGGATTTTTTTTATTAATAAAAAATACAATATTGACATATAGACCAAGCAGACAAGTCATTGCTACTGGTTACTGTAAGGTGCACTCACAGTGAACTGGTTTCCAGCGGTGGGGATGTAGATGGTGTACTGTTTTTCTGAAGCTGCCTCCACATTCACAGGACTGGCCTCAGCATTTCTTCTCAGTTCCTCCAGAGCCAACCGGACAGCCAGGTATTTAGACAGGTGATCCACCGTTGCGTTACCAGATGTCTTGATGTAGCGTGGGACAAACTCGGTGCTACTGCGATACACACATTAAACCAGGTTAACAATCCAGTAGAGACAACAGCAGATAAATTGAAAAGCCTAACATGTGTTGTTTTCCTTATTTAGAAAAATGTAGCTATCTGCGCACAGTGAGGCGGCGCGACCCAGTTTTTAAACATATGATATACTCGGCTCCCATTGGAACTGCAGAGTGAACATGGAGCATGATAAGCACTCAAACAATAAACTGAAAGGCAAAACATTGATTGTTGAAGTAACCGAGTCAGCTTACAAGAACAGCCAGTCATTAAAACATTTATTGCCTCAGTGTGCTACATTACCTGTTGTGACCCTCCTCTTTCTCCATTAAAGTGGGGTGTGGCCGAAACACAAGTTCTATTTCACTTGCTCCTCCATCAATGGCAGCGTCTCCACCTCCGTTCTCAGCAGAATTATCCATGTCCAAACCACTGTCATCACTCGTCTTGGTGCGTTTGATACTCGGCCCTGCTTCCTGGGTAAACAAAAAGGTAGGGTTAGGGTTTGGAGGTTTTGGAGCCCACTCATTCCTGAGAGTTGTGTAAACATTTGTTTTTTTGTCTTCTTTGAGATACGTTAGTCCGTCAATATTCTCTTATTACCCATTACAGAAAATGTATACTAAATATACTGTAGTATATATATCAGACCTGGTTGCTGTGGACAGAGGCGTTACTGCAGTGGGAGGAGTCGCCGTTATCTTCTGCTCCACTCCCGTTCTCTACCGGATGTCTCTTACCACGCTGCAGTCTGAGAACAAATTTAAAAGATATTTTAGATCAAGTGTGTGAACGTGCTTTAGCAGAAATGGGACTGTCCTTCACCTGGTCATGGCCTGTATCTTGAGCCCTTCCTCTATGCTGTGGGACAAGGCTTGCTGGTTGTTGTGTTTGCTAATGCGTGCCAACACTCTCTCCTGGTGTGCTTCATATTCATCACGGCTGGGATAAATCTTACCTGTATAACGAGGAAATATTTTTAGGTAATTAATTAAATAGGTTTGGTGATCTGGTTTCATTACAACTTAAAAAGAGGACACTTACTAATTAGGGCATCAAAATTGGGGTCTGGACGCAGAGATCTTTTGGAAACCAACTTCTTACGACAAGTAGGACACTCTTTATTTCTGTGGAAACAGTAAAGATCCAGGAAGAAAAAACATCAAAATTATTGTCAAAAAAACTGCCAGGAATTTTTGCTCTTGGAGAACCACCTAATGTACAATGTACAATTAAAAACATTTCTTCATCTCTTCTTACATTACTGTTCCCACATTGATGTAACCAAGGTTCAACTCACCCTGATCTCAAGGCTGTGATGATACAATCTGCACAGAAACGGTGCAGACATTCTTTAGTTGTCATTGTGTTCTTCAGCATATCCAAACAAATGGGACACATTAGTTCACTGTGCAAGGACCGTGGTGACACAGCTATCTCCAGTCCATCTGTTATAGCTTCCTGTACCGGCACACAGCACATTGATGAGAATGACAGCACCATTTATTCTTGAATTAACAGATCAACGATACAGTATACAAACAAATGCGATACAGTAAGTTACCAAGCAATAAAATGGCTCTGACAATTTGTTTAAGAAGAAAACATTAATGACAACATCAAATAACCAGACCAGTTTACCTGTGGCGTTCTCTGCAGCTCATACAGACTCAGTTCCCAAGTTTTACTGAGGGGTTGGACTCCATTGGTCTGAACCGTCTGAGTCATTTTAGCAAATCTGAAGCACATGAACGTATGGAAGCAATACAATTTAAAGCAATTAATAAGGCTGCATTAAAATGTATCTCCGATGACAATAGAACGTACACAAACATGGCAAAATTGCTAAATAAAGAATTGATCAATTAGTCATTCTTTTAGCACTTACTATTTTCATATTACTTGCAATATTGATTCCTCAATTTGTAAAAGTGCATATAGTTTTAATATCATGTAAATACCAAGCATTGCAATTCAGTGAACTACTTATGCACACTAACAACATCAGAAATATCACTCTGTTGTGTGCATTGTTGCACAAAATTAAAATAAAATTGCATGGTCTTCCACACAAAATAAACAGAAGCGACTTCTGGTATAGTAATTGTCCGAGAGTGAAATACATTTGTCTAGCAGTCAATGTATTAGATATGTGTTACACTCTATTTAAATCATTGCTAAAACGCTAGACAAACACGTTTAAGACACATTCCATGTTCAGACCGTACGGCTAATGCTAAATAGCTAGCACATAGCGCACCTATTCTTCGTAACGTCAACATTGCAGGCTAAAAGAGCTAATTACAAGAACACATAAATGCCACGCTTGTAAAAAGAATCGCAGAAAATTAACAGACACATCAATGGCTTGCCCGCCTGCAAAGCTTACCGAAAATATAAGCTATTATTATCTAAAATGCTCCGAGGAGGTTGGCGAGCGTAATTTGTCGTTGTGACAGGAAAAAAACAACAGAAAAAAATTGAGCTAAGACCAACCTCGCCGAATGGAACCCGAATCGCGTTCTTTCGGTTTCCTCTCAGGTTATAAACACACACGAGAAGAATATATTCTAGTAAAGATACCGATACGAACGCACAACACAACACAATTGTACAAAAATAGGTATTTGGTGCACTTACATTTCCAGGTGTTGGTCAACTATGTAGCCAGCGCGTTCAGGCGAAGGCAATATGGCGGATACACGATGAGCGGTGCATTCTGGGAAAATGAGGCGCCTTGACAGGGGGGAGGGGATTCCATGGTGATTCGGTGATGAATAATTTCTGCGGGATATTAGTTGATTATTAAGTTAAAACCGTACGTTCCGTATTGCATATAGTTATGTATATAAGTGTTTACATTTTTCGTAAACTAAACTTAATGAATTAAAGTGTTTACTTTTTTCGTAAACTAAACTTAATGAATTAATGAATTCCTTAATTGTCCGATGATTTATTCTAGCGTATGGAAATGTTTGATATTGACTATATAAGCATGCATTATTTACATCAACATAATTTACCATCTACACAACACCTTAATAACAAATCCGCCATACCTGAATCTGAATTATTCTACAGTATTGAGAAGTTTGGAGTAAATGTGGAATACAAACATAAATATCTGTCATTGTCATTACAGAAAACAAATCTGTTTGTTTGTTTGTTTGTTTTCAAATTTTGCACAGCATTTTTTATCTCTTCTTCCAAGTTTCTATTCTTCTCCATCTACAGTTAGAACTGAAGGAGCTCTTGCATGAGCGGTGAAATGTCCAGCTTTGTATACAATGATTCGAATGACTTCTTCTTCATCTATTATGAAGTCTTGAAGGTATTAAAGTGCATCACAGCAGGATGGCAGACCTGCATCAAATCACTTCTCCAAATACAAACAATAAATGTAACCTTCTTCTGCGCCAAGAAGAGAGGTCTTGCTCAGCTCAACAAATCCCAAAAAGGAAATGGATGGACAGGATTAGAAATGAGCCGATCAGAGGAACAGCTAAGGTATGTAATATGTTTGAGAAGGAGCTGCCAAGAAGAAGGGACAGAGAAAGGTCTTAGAGCATATCATTTGAATAAAGTGTTAAAACCGCTACTTTCTTAATGCATACTAACTTAAAAAGGGGAATCGATCGGTCTGGTATTTTTGGTATTAAGATTAGGGAAATTTGAAAAAAAAAAGAATTGATAACAGGTTGAATGCAAAATAAGTAGAAGAAAATATCTCTCTGCAGTAAGATAATAACAGTACTTACAAAAGATGTACTTGAAAGTGATTAAAATCATTGTATATCTAATTAAAGATGTGAGAAGCTCTTCATAATTTGCAAATATGATGCTTTTGAATGCAGATTAAACATATTTTTTGGTTTTAATTGTTAGAAATAATGATAATAATAAGAACTTACACCACTAGAGGTCAACATACTACAGGTTGGGAAGTATTATTAGTTTCTTATTTATCATAACTCATGCATGCAAGGGATAAGGTTGATTGAACACTAAATTTGAGTTCAAATGGTTGCCTGTCTATTTATGTGGCCCTGCAATAAATAAATATTTAATAATATAGTTATAATCCACCTTATAACACATTCATTAGTATGTAAAATAATAAATATAATCTTTTAGGGGTAAAATATTTAAAAATCCGCATGTTCATTATCTATGCACGCAATGTGATAATTTTCTGCTACGGTTGGTCTGCTGCACATGAAGGCCAGTGGGGGCAGGGAGGAGGGGGGGTCGAGTAGGTGTGCGTGGATCTCTGAACAGGCCGAGGCGTGGTTACGACAGAAGGGGGTCGGAGTGGGTGGAAGAGGGCGGACAAGGAGAAGGAGCGGGAGGAGGAGGAGAGGGGAGCGGTGGAAATGGGGGGATAGTTGCTGGTCGATGACATGAATGAACCATGTTCGGTAACGGAGGCTCAGCTCTCCCGGTCTGCTTCTTCCTGCCCCTGCTGCTGCTGCTCCTCCCGCTGCTGCCGCTGAACAAAGCCTGGCCCTCCAAGGTAAATAGCTCCCCGTGTGGCCGTTTGTCTGTGTGGAAGAGTTCACCTCCACGGTAAAGTCACCGTGTTCAGCCGAAGTTCTGAAGGAGGGGGGAGGACCTGGTGTTCTGCTACCATGTAGTGCGGTTACTTCAGTGTGTCACTATGTTGATGCTCCCTTGCTGCTCGTATTTTTACACACTGGCCGCGCTCTTCTCCACATTCAATGAACCCACATGGTGGAGACGAGTTTGTTTTATGTTTAAATCTGGCCTTAAACTTAAAGCCTGGACACAAAGCTGATGTGACTGATAGTGTTATATGTTGGGGTACGTTTGTCACCGTTGTCTTCGACGAACTGTCGTGCAAAGTTAGGACTTGGTTTTAGTTTGTGTTGTGCACATACGTTTTATTTTTTATTTTTTTAACTTAATCCAACATCCTGCATTAACAGTGCTTAGCTAAGGTTATATATATTTTATGTTTTTCTCCTGCTGTCCGAATGAATGGGACTCGATGCAGGATCTCTTACCTAAACCGTCTGCAAATAAACTTCGTCACGACCTGTGGAAGAAGTAGGCAGTCCAGCGTGTGTTTACATGAGGCAATAATAATACAGGAAGTAAGTCACTAATGGAAGCGGTAACTCCGGGGGTATTACCGTGTCATTTATAGTATATACAAGCACGTTTTAAAAACAGGTCTAAAACGATTACAATACCCTTAAGTAAAATTAAAAAAAAAAAAAAATTTACAAAAAACTTGATATTAGGCTATAACTTTACTGCAGGACACACTTCAGTTTAGAGAGAAATCTCATAGAAACCTGTCTAATAGCACAGGAAAATTGTTCAATAAATGTATTGTCAGATATAACTTCATTGTAAAGACCATATGAAAATAAGTGTATTATATGTGTGTGTTTAAAAAAAAGAAACTAAAAAGTTCAAGGGTTTGCTGCAATGGCATTAACCACAGGGATTATACTTAACTTCAGTTTATGTTTATGGTTTTGTTCTTATACACATGTCAGCCACACTATTTAATTAGGTCCAACCGCATACACTAAATGCATATGGTTTGTGTTGTGCAGTCAGGCACTAACATTTAGCTCTGTGATGCAACTGCAGCTAAAACCAGGCCTTGTGTTCATGTTAGTAATCTTTTTTATCACCCTCAGGTATACGTACATAAAAGGTCCTGATGTTGTAGTCAGTATTTGATGCATAAATGTAAATAAATATAAAGTACAATTTCTTTTATTATTTTGGTCCAGAATTTGACAAACCCACTATGCTTCGTAAAAAATGCAATAAAAACGTAACATCTATCAATCGTTATTATTCACACCAGAAGTGGACGCTTTGGTGTGAATTCACCCCAGGTGATCTGACAAAACCTGAAATATTTTTTCAGTTTTGTTTTTTTTTAACATTATTAGGTCACATCATGTTCAGTCCAGTTGGCTGCACTAATACTGTGCTGCCTTTCCAACTAATAGTTTTTATGTGTTAGAAGACAACATGGTGAGAGCCAGATGCCAGCTAAGTCAGGGTGACTTGAGGTTTCATGGTTAAAACTCTAAACAGATGAAGTTCCAAAGACTGAGCATGCAATTGTTTGCAGACGCCGGCATTTACACTCCTTTTTCCTAATATTAAACACCACTCAGTAACTTGTGTGTCTGTGTAAGAACTACCCATTCATACCACATGCCAAATGGGAGCAAACATGCCCCAGATTTACTTTATTTTTTTATTTAATAATTCGGTCCGTTCTTTCTTCTTTTTTTTTTCCCGAAAAAATTTAAGTCTACTTCAAAGAGTCCTTTAGATGTAAAGCTGGATCAAGCAGAAGTAAAATAGTGAGAAATGTACGAAACAACTGGCATGTCATCACATAAATCTACTGTTCAACAACAAGGCTAAAACAGCCCTTCCTCATTACTCTGCCTTTAAGTGCAGACCTAATGTGCCAGCAGCAGTGAAGTAATGCCTTCTATTCACATGGTTGTTTTTATTTTAACTAATCTGTTTTGTTTTTTTCTTGTGTCATTTTTCCCCTCTGGGGAGCATGTTCTGTGGTCAAATTAATCAATGTTTTGACTTGTTTCGGAAAAAAAGTGTCCTTAGAAATGTGCTAATGATGAACACAGTGATTCAGTGGGATTTGGGATCTGCGTTAATATTATTTAGGCATCAAATTTAGGGTTATTTTTGAATTTCAGACACAGAGACTGTATGCTCCCCTCCAGACAATATCTTTACATCTTAGGCAATACCAGCCAAGAGTCAATAATACAGCAATAGAAGAACATTTTTAGAGCGTATTCAAAGTTCAACTTCATTGTCTATTTTTTTATGTAACTAATTTGTGCAGTATGATCCAGATCACAGCTTCAGGGCCAAAAACAAATAATACTTCTTTTATCAGAGGTGTGAATTCATTCCGCACATTTTGATATGCAACACGTGGGGTTATCAAGTTATATGACGTGCCCTAGAAGGAGAGTACAAGCATGTGTAGCAAGAACAGATGTTTATACTATACAGTACTTCTGAGGGTTCGTAGAATACTAGAAAAAAAAAGAGCTAAACATTTCAGCTGCAGCTTTGCAGTTCTTTTGAATCGAACCAAACGTGCCTCTTGTGGAGACAATGCCAGAAACATGTAGTAACATTTTAATAAGTTGCACAATTACAATATTGGACGAGATTTTAGAAATTCCACTTGTGTCTGTGGTAAAGTCTGTTTGTAATTCAGCATTAATAAAAATTAAAAAAATAAAAAAGAAGCTAAAAATGTGGTATGTTATGACCCAGGTTTTTCTTTAGCTAAAAAAAAATAAAAAAAAAGAAGCTAAAAACGTGGTGTTATGACCCAGGTTTTTCTTTAGCTAAAATCGATGTTATTGTTCAGGTTGTTCTTTTCTGGCTCTGGTTCTGTCTGTGTTTCTCTCCCAGGAGGAGGTCTTTCAGTGGTGGGGGGAGTGGTCCAGTTGGTCCTCTTGTTCGCGGAGCTGTGGAGGAGGAGTGAGGAGTCAGGAAAGACACTGTCTCATACAGAGGTATAGTGGTTTGGTGGGGATGTCCTTATATAGTTAGCATCTGCTGCTAATTTTCTGTCCCTTCGTTTCATCTGAAACTGCATCTTCAACACCTTCCTCGCTTTTAACTGACTTCAATCTTCTCTGAAGCTTTTAACTAATTCTGATTAGAACCACAAATGTGTTTATTTGCCCATAATCATTCCTCTCATGTCCAGCCGATCAAATAAGGTCATTTTGAACCCAAACATTTCTGTTTTTTCCACGTGTTGTTTAAAAAAATAGTTAATTTATTTAACTAGACACTAGTGTGCACTATGTACACGGCGTGTACGACAGAAGAAAGACGACTACTTCCAGGATTAGAGTAGGTAGTGTTGACACAGTGTGTGTTTGTAGTCTTTGCGACCTTTGACCTGCTCCTGTCAGACTTGCGGAAGTTTCTGTCAACCAAGATTAATTCGCTTACTGTTAGGGCTGTGTCTCCCCTTTCTTTCCTCTTTCTTTGTTCCTGTCCTCTTCATGTTTCCGAACGCCGTCCCTACTTAATCCTAAACCCTTTTTTTTCCCCCACAATTTCCCGACTCATCATTTCCATTTTCTTTCTTCTGAAGTAACTCGACTACTTCTTTCCCTCTTCCCTTCACTCTCCTCCCTTCATCACCTTCTACCAATTAGGTGTTACACTTTGGCATGGTGACCTCCAGCTGACCTTTTCCGGCAGCCTCTCACACTTGACTATTTTAAACAGCGCAAAAGAATGGTACTAACGAAACAGGGGCATAAATAGCTGAGGTGGGGCGGGTATGTGTGTTATGTGCTGGTTAGGGTAGGGGGTCAACATTGTAATGAAAGACAGATGCATTAGCTCTGTGGTGAATTTTGTAGGACCACAACACGTACAAAGAGATTTAGGATCACGTTGGATATACAGTACTCTGCTGGTGAAGTGATGGAGATACAGAGCGGAAATAACTTTTACTAAATTTCCTCAACAAGGAGTTAAAATTAAAATGAATATCAAAATGATTTAGCACCTGTTACATTGATGACTCTATGGCTCAGTGTTCCAGGATTTAAAGGCTGAAGTCAGACCTACTACTACTGGATGATGCACTAGTACCATTATTGGTATTGGGTTGAGCTTGAACCTCACTAAACTAAACTTTAAAGTTTTACCTTCAGTTTTTAAATCGATTCTTTTCTCCTCTGTGCCTCACTGAGACAACAGAACTGAATCCAATGTATCGATTCTTTTCTCCTCTCTGCCTCACTGAGACAACAGAACTGAATCCTTCACTCTGACCTCTCTGTTCTAGGCTGTCGACTACACAGAACAACATTTCTTTTTGCGTCGGCTCTTCAAAACAGTACCAGCTCTGTCCAGACCAGGTATGGTGCAAAGTGGAGATGACGGTGACAAAAAAGATTAAGATTTGTGTAGTAATCCCTCCCATTTCAATCAACTTGAAAAAAGGTTGTGTTTGATTGGTTGCATTAACCAGGTCCCGTCTGTGGGGTCTGTTGTCTTACAGCCCTGCCCCAGTCCTCACGTTAGCTTCAAACAGCACCAGTGTTCCCAGTTTAACTCCAAAGCCTTTGGAAGAAGATACTACCAGTGGGTTCCTCTCTACCCAGGTCGGTTTAACCTTCATGTCTCTGTCCAATCACGTGGAAGCTGTTGTATGTTCACAGTAAAAATCATTCCTCTCATGTCCAGCCGATTACATTAGCATCTCCAATAAGCCATGTGACCTACAATGTACCACCATCAATGGAGAGCGTCAGCTTCTGGTACCTGCTCACGATGGTACATTCTGCCACGACACAAAATACCATGGAGTCTGTATCGAAGGAATCTGTCAGGTAAATCAATACCGATACAGGCCTGGTAATATATAATATAATATATATATATAATATATATATACTTAAATATATATTAATATTTATTTATCTGTACAAACCACTGTGTGAGTATGAGATTAATTAAATGAGCTGCAATGCTGCCATCTAGTGAACTTCACTTTAATTAAAGTGACTTTTTTAATTAAATTAAAAATTATAATTTTTTGACCTCTGTTTCTCACCTGCAGCCTGTAGGTTGCGACGGTGAGCTCTTCAGCAGCAGGAGAGTGGACAGATGTGGAGTATGCGGAGGCAACGGGGCGTCATGCCAACGTGTCTCTGGATCATACAAGAAGGCACTCACACAGTTAGGTAACACACACACAAACACATGCAGAAATATTCACGTCAAATGCATCAGTTTTTACTGTAGACTTTAAACACAGTGTAATGAAGGTAAATGGTTCTCATTGCTTGAAAAGTCTGTCAGATTTATGTTACAGGTGTTTTATGTTTATTTCCGTTAGCTCAGATCACACTACTGTCCCTTTGGTTTAACGCTGTGTTTTTGTGCCATCAGGTTACGTGTTCATCACCAACATCCCAGCTGAAGCCACTGACATTCAAATTATAGAGAGGCACAAGACTGAGAACATCTTGGGTGAGAACCTCCAACTTCTTTAAGGTCAATACAATATGTATGAAATCAATACATGTAAACACTGAACCCAGTGAAGCTAAAGTCAAAATATAGAAATGCACTCACCCTTTATTTAGCTATTTTAGCAAATCTAGGAGCTTTCAAATGATGAATACACAAAGTGTAGTACGAGTCGGGACTATACCAGTAGCTGCAAGTGTTCCTGTTGGTACCATTTTTTTATCAGTTCACTAAAAAGAATCTGTAGGCACTGACTACAAGATGCTAACTCAGTTTTGTCAGGAAGGTCAGGTGTAAAAACCCACTGCATGAAACTGTAGCACACATCTCCACTGAGGTTCTGAGCTGCTCTTAGGATAACTCTCATTCTCATTTCTAGCCCTTTCAGATGAGGCTGGTCACTTCTTCTTCAACGGGAACACCGTGTTTGACAATCCTCAGAACTTTCACGTGGCAGGGACCGTATTTAAATACAGACGTCCCAGCAACGTCTTGTCTGACGGGCTTGAATACATCATAGCACAGGGACCGACGCTGCACGGCCTCAATGTCATGGTAACACATCCTGTCATCACTCACACGTGCTCTACCAACAACTCTGACAAACTCTGTTTGTTTGTGTGACTTTGAAAGCTCTGCCATGGTTTCTGTGTACGCAGTATTACAACCTGAATGGAAAACTCCCACACATCACCTATGAATACACCGTGCCCCTCCAGTCTTATGATGTCACAGCCGAGGAGGTCCTCTCCATAAACCCGGACCGCCCCAGCCTTAACTTCACCCACAACGAGCTACGGGAAGAAGACACCAGAGGGGGTGAGGTGAGGCTGTCAAACCACAGCGCGGGGAGCGTGACGTCGCTCTATAAGTACAGCACTGAGATGCTGACGGAGGAGCAGTCACATGACCAGCTGCAGCAAGAAAAGTTCGAGGACAAGGGCGACAAGGAAGACGTTTGGAAAATCATCACGCCCACCCCGACGCCACTGGTGGCAATGTTGGTGCACAGAGCAGCTGATGTGGCAGGTCGTGTGTTCAGCCACAGTGATGTGGAAGAAGAGCAGGGACCTCCCGCTCCATCTGGCTACCGTAAGTCACAGAATTAATGGGTATGTAAATTTAAAAGTGAGTGTATTGTCCTAAAAAAAGTCTGTTTCTCCAGGGAGCTCGTCTAACTCCATCGAACCTCCAGCTGCTGGCGACAACACTGTGCACCTCCCTTTTCCAGGCAGGACACACAAGTGAACATCATTTGTCTAAAACTCCCGTCTGACTTTGTCCTTTACACTATTTGTTGTATTCAATTGTAACGTCCCACATGTTGGAGCCTGAACTTTCATTTGAATTGATTATCTATTCCTGATTATCCTTCTGTCCATCCACAGGGAGTCAGAGTGTCCTGCCTGAAGAGGAGCCTTATCTCCTCCTGGAGGAGCTCCAATACAACCAGACACACTCGCTCACGCAGTCAAACACATACTCTGTGCATCACACACTGGTTGAACCACACTCACCAGAAACACCGGCGGACACTCCGACACACGCTGCTGCTGTGGTGAAGGTGCAGCAGGTGTCTGCAGTGGAGGCAGCGAACACAGAAAGGTAACCAGCTGCTCACTACCGCCCCCTGTTACCACCAGCTAATACCAAGTTAAATATTGTACTAGTTTATAATATATTCATGTTTTTTTATGTGAAATGTTCAAAAATTCAAAATGTTAAAAAAAAAAACATAATAGTAGATTAAGTTTAAAAATTTAATTTAAATAGTTCTTTCTTCTGTCTCTTCCTAGCAATGACTTTGACGTGGGTCTGGACCAGGATGTCAGTCTGGCTGACATGTATCGCTGGAAGGTTTCTGCCTATGCTCCCTGCAGCTCCACCTGTACTACAGGTACCTTTATACAGTTATTACGGTATTTTGACAAAAGTTTGGTAGAACTAAAGACTATTTTTGAGAAGGACACAGTCTCGAAGGAGTTGAATTACAGAGGAATTGTGTGTTTATATGTGTGTGTGTGTTTACAAGGCATCACCACTAGTTACGCCCTGTGTGTTCGTTACGATGGAAGTGAAGTGGACGACAGTTACTGTGACTCTCTGACCAGACCAGAGCCCACACACGAGTTCTGCACTGGAAAAGAATGTCCTCCCCGGTACGTCCTCATTCTCACCGTCTGACACGAGGTGCAAAACTTCAGCAAAATAAATGGACTAACAAACAAACTCCAGATGTTTTCTGGAGTTGTACGTTTATCTTTGTAATGACTGAAAGACCTTTACAGGAGGTAGAGGTCATAGAGTGTTACTGATGACTGCCTACCTCACCACTGTGCCACAGGTGGGAGACCAGTGGGTGGAGCGACTGTTCTCGGACCTGCGGTGAGGGTGTTCAGTACCGTACCGTACGCTGCTGGAAGATGCTGTCGCCAGGTCTGGATTCCTCTGTCTATGACTCCCTGTGTCTGTCACATGACCTGCACAAACCAGCAAACAGAAAGGTGTGTCATGGTCAGAGCTGTGGACCACAGTGGGAGGTGTCTGAGTGGTCAGAGGTAAATACTGCAGTAAATATACACACACACATCTGTTATACTTGAAATACTGTAATTAAAACAATCAAGGTGGTAATAAACTGATGTACATATGTGTGTGTGTGTGTGTGTGTGAAAGTGCTCGGCTCGCTGCGGTTCTCGAGGTGTTCGAACCCGAGAGGTTCGCTGCTCCATCGAGATGAGACTGTGCAACCAGACGTCAAAACCGGCAGAAAGTCAGGAGTGCGAGGGTCCACCGTGTGACAGACGATGGACAGTTTCTGACTGGGGTCCTGTGAGTTCACTGACACACACACACACACACGTGCAGACTGACACACACTCTGACACTGTAACTTCTGCCTCAGTGTTCAGGTGTGTGCGGCGAGGGGAGGATGGTACGTGCTGTGACCTGTCGGTCGTCAGGTGGGGTGGTGATGTCAGAGGAGCAGTGCGACCAATCGCTCCGTCCATTAGCCGTCTATCCCTGTGGTGATAAAAACTGTGCCCCGCATTGGGTGGGGCAGGAATGGCAGCAGGTTAGTGACGCTCATCTTGGAGACTTGGCTCCTCAAAACTGTGGTTCTCAAATGGGGGTACGTGTGCCCTTAAAGGTACTTAAATACACAAGTACAGGATATATATAAATGGAAGTTCTAAATAAATTGATTAGTTAAGAACTTGAATAATATGCAGGTTTTTTTTTTTTAGTGTAACGCCAGCTGTGGTCGAGGCACCCGGCAGCGTCAGGTGGTTTGCGCGGGTCTGGAAGACGGTGTGTTTAAAGAGTTTCCAGAGAGCAGCTGTGATCAGAATAACAAGCCAGAGATCAGCTCCCCCTGCTTCCAGAGGCCCTGCTCCAAATGGTTTACCACGTCCTGGTCCCAGGTAATATTCCCTCTGTCAGTCTGTGTCTACCATTACACTTTTGGGAAGTATTTACAGCTTAAAGACACTTTTTCTTGCCAAACTCTTCATGTCAAACACATGGCTCATCATCAGTAAATTATCTGGAGAAAAAAAATAATTTCCATTTCCTCCTCCTCCCCCCTCAGTGCAGTAAGTCCTGTGGGAGCGGTGTCCAGGTTCGAGAAGTCAAGTGTTACCAGGGGGAAGAGCTGGTAACCAGGGGCCACAGCTGCGACTCAGCCCTCAAGCCAGAAGCGAGACAGAGCTGTGAGATCCAGAGCTGTCCAACAGAGGCCACAGGTAAATAAACAAACCTCCATGTTGCAGCAGATGCAGCTTCAACTCATTAACAGAAAATTAACTGCGTCAGAGTGCCACTGTGTTTCTGCAGTACACAGATGTACACACATGGGGCAACAAACTGCAATACTGCTTCTCACAATTAATTCATTACAGCCGCCCCAGAAATATACTATTAATTAATTAAATTAAAATTCCCCCAATCTAAACATTAAAATCATAGATAAAAACAAATATATTGATAATATAAAATAATAATAATTAAGAAAACATTTATATTATTGTTAGAAAAATGGGTAAAAGTGGGCTTCGTAAGTGTTATGTCCTTGTGTTCTTATGTCCAGCAGTGGCAGCTCCTGCAGCATCAGTAGCAGTCGACGACGCCTGCCAGGACAAACCCACAGCTAACTGTGCGTTGGTCCTGAAGGTGAAGCTCTGCTCCCACTGGTACTACAGAAAGGCCTGCTGTCAGTCCTGCAAGGCACCGTGACCCTGAAGAGGCCGCTGTGACATCACCCTTCCAACCACGCCCTCCTCACCAAACATTGGTACCAACAGTTACACTACATTCTCTTTGGTGCTACACCAACGCCTGCTGCTAGCATTCTATGGCCGATGGACCATAAAATTGACCATATAACAGTTGGCCTGTCACTACTGTCAAAGGTCAGTCTGTGGTCATTGTCTCTTACTGTCTAAATTATCATCTGCTCATTAAAATAATGTTTTTTTTGTTTGTTTTTTTTACAAAGTAGCCTGATTATAACATAAAACACTGTCATCTAATGATTTGTGCTGAAAAAAACTGTTGAATAGAAAGTAGTCAACACTTTGACCCGACACAGCTCCATGATCGTATGGAACCTGTCAAAATAAACCAACCTTATAGTTGTCTTTTGATTGGCCCATGTTGAACGGAGGGGTTGACCAAAGGACACGGAGTCTCACTCACTGGATGATACAGTGAATTTAAGCACAAACTATTGAGCAGCTCCAGCTTTATCAAAACGGTCAAATCCACCTGCAAAAACAATAAACAGTTCCCATCAGATTAAAAGTGTTATGTAGAGAAAAGGAAAATGTGACTATTGTTTGTGGTTGAATATACCTGTGTGTTGCAAGTATCGATGCTAAAACCAGGTAATGTTTATTCAAGTGAATAAATGTCATTGGTGAAAATACTTGAAGTTTTTTTTGTTGTTGTAATTTTCCAAGACAGATAAGGTGTGAGTGTTTCCAACTGATAATATTCAATTAATATAAAAGTTAATATAAAAAATAAAATAAAAAGTCATTATTGTTCTGGAAGCACCAGATTAACTATTGCCACAAACAGGACCAGTTTCCCTCTTGGTTCCCACATGGTTACATGAAATGGGATCCCAGTGGAAGGGTCTGTGACGACGTGAGCAGATCACATCCACGAGTGCACACTAATGACTGTAGTGGTGTGAACGTACACCACTGCACATCCAGGCCGACAGACAGGAGCTGATGTTTTTGTGAGCAGGGAAAAAAGACAACAACTCCACACTGAAGGTAAGCACACGTTTTTACCACCGGTGGAATGAAAGTTATGGCTGCTCAGCGTAAATGTTCCTAAGGGCTGCATGTATGGATATTAGCATGCAAGTATTTGTAGCAAAATAGAATAAGAAATAGAAAATAATGTGTGACCAGCTAAAGTCCTTACCACTGGGCAATAACTGAGTAAAAGCTGTTAATTAAAATATCTACAAGTAATAATTATCCTTTTTTTCATCTTTCATCCTGGTTATAATCCTGATGATCTGACATGTAAAACAAAACAAAAAAGGGTTTTTGTTCCTACCCGAGCATTTGGTGGTCTTGGCTGCCACAGCACACACACACACACACTTGTCATCTCTCGTCTCTTCCAGATGTCTCCATCACTCTGTGTGCCTCTGTTAACAGTCGTCTGTGCGTTCTCTGTGGAACTGTGCCTGTGCTTCCCCAACGGCTCTGTGGCATTCTCCTGTGGCAACATGATGCCTGAACACCCGCCCTTTACCCCCTCCACCAGCAGTCCTCCATTTAGGCTGTCCACCTCCAGCACCACCTACAAGCCAGGCAAAGTCATCACAGGTCATCACCTAACACTCAGATTAATGGCACAGATTAACCTTTATTATTATTATTATTATTATTATTATTATTATTAATAGTGTCACCTGACCTGCTTTTGTCTTTGCAGTCACAGTGGAGGTGCTGAAGAGCAGCAGTGTGGAGTTCCAGGGTTTCCTCCTACAGGCCAGGAGCAGACAGGAAAACAGTACAGTTGCTTTAAACCCTAACTGTGTTTTAACCTTCATTCCACTAGAGGGTGGTCAAGTATCACGTACAAAGTACATGTACCATAATTCAAGAACAAAATTATATGGTGCTCCGGAAACAAATAAAAACAACAATAACAGCAGCAACAGTAACAAATCATCTTAAAGCAACATAAATTAAAAAAAAAACCCAGAAGCATTACTTAGAGTAATGGCATAAAACGAATTTCCGCGTCTTTTATCTCAATATTAAAAAAGAAATTAAAATAAGTTCAGTATGGGATCATTAAAAGTTTAATCATTGCTGATAATTTATGTACATTTCTGTGTCCCTGTTTTCAGCTTTGCTGTTTCCTGTGGGGAAGTTTACGAACATCGACACCTCCAAGTTTACTGCTCTGCACTGTAAAAACCAGCAGGTGTGTTTTTATATTGTCGGGTAGTTAAATATATACAATACGTAAATAGGAGGAAAACAAATTACCTGTCTGGGGAACATAAAATGGGTTATTTTAGGGAAATTGTTGACAAACTTATTTAAAAATCAATCTCCCATTTGTGTTATGTTTTACAGAATTCAACAGTGAGTCAATAACAAGTTTAGACAAAGTCCTCGTTGTTTTACAGAATTCAACAGTGAGTCAAGCATCAAGTGTAAAGCAGAAGAAGGTGGATCTGAGCTGGCAGGCCCCCAGTAACACCAACTATGGAGACGTATATTTCAGGTAAACAAGGACAGAAACACAGAGAGTGAGGGAGAGAGGGAGATAGATATAAAAGGTCTCTAAAATTGTTTTTTTTACTCTGCAGTGCCACTCTGGTCCAGGACTACACCACCTTCTGGGTTCAGCTGAACAGCAGCTCTGTGAGGCTGGACACCAGTGCTGCAGCTGGAGTGAGTACTGACCAACTTTATTACTCACTGATTCTAAGACAAAACACAGATCTGTGATGTGTTTCTGTGACGTTCCTCCGGTTCCTTCCTCGTTCTGCACAAAGGTAACATGTTTCTCTCTTTCTTCAGGTGAGCTCCTCTTTGGGTCTGGTTTTAATCACCCTGCTGAGTCTGAGTGGATCTAACTGATGACTGTAAATCACCAAACCATTTCACAGTACAGCCTGACCGCCCAGAGTGATGTGAAAGATGTATAACAGATGTAGCAAGATATTAAAAATAAAAAAATATTTGTCGAAAGAATAGAAAGAATTGAATCGTAGTCACTAGTGGCATGGACTTGAAGACAGCAGGTTCGTACTGTTATTTCTTTTACAAATACTATGTTTATTGCTCGGTGTTTTTGGAAAAGCAGTTTTTCACAATTACTGTTCTGTCACACGTACCGTTAAACATGCAAAGTTGTCTCTGATCAGGAACCAACTCATGTTGAAATGCCTTTGTAATGGTATTTTGAGCATGTGAAGACACAACAGGCGAGTCTAGTAAATGTTGAACAACTTACAAAAACTACCATAAGACAACAGGTTCTGTTAATACTGGTGTTCTGTCATCAAGGAAAGTTCAATCTTTTTTTAAAGTGTGGTTCTATGAGGCTTTGCTTTTTTGTCAACTCTAATAATGCAACACGGGAAACACAGAGAACCAACCCAGACAAGGACACCTGCACTTAGACTGTAGGTCTATCACATTCCTGTAACTCAAAGAAATATATAAAAAGGTTTCCCTTTACACTACTGGACATTTTCCATAAATGTGTAGCTGTTCTGTGAGATCGAAGTCACCATAGTAGCTGAAAAATAGCAAGAAAATCAATGTGAGAAGACGATATGTAGTGTATAGCCATGTGCTAAATCTCAAAGCTATCTATTTGTTTGGTAATATATTTGGCCTCTATGTCTTTAAGGTGCATTAATTTCTTTTAAGAAATAAAAAGATTCAACAGTTACATCTCTGGATTTCTTGTCGTCAAGTCACAAAAGGTTGTTATTTCCCTAACAGAAAACTAAAGACACAAAACCATTGGTTGTCGTAACAGTAACGTCCATTAGGACCAGATTGCTGTCAGATATTGATATGGGTTAAAGGTTTTTTCATATTTTGCATCCCTAGCTCTGGGGCGTGCAGGTGAACAGCACATTCAGCACCAGCTACATCTTAGGTTTCATGGTATTTCAACCAGATGCCTTCAAAGAAAAGCTGGTTCTCTGTGATGGCAGCATTAACAGTGAAGGCAGTGACGTACAGATAACATGGATCACAACTTCTCTCCAGAAGTTCATCACATTCAGTGCATTATTTTCAAACTGTACATGAAGGCAGCAACAACACTACACAGTTATTGGAAGAGATGTCACACGTCACAGAGGTCACAGAGGGCGACCTGCTGTGACATCACAGGGCGGAGGGATGGGGGGGGGGATTCAGAGGTCGTAGAGAACCTCCAGCACCGTGGCCAGAGACCAGGCCTGTGTCTCACAGCTGAACGAGCAGTACTGGCCGTTCTCGTTGGTCAGTTCAGGCAGACCCCTCCAAGGAGACCTGAGAAAGGAGTGGCCCAGGTGACAAGTGAGGACCCGGAGTCAAACACAGACAGGAGGAGACGGAGGTTAACAGGTGAGGGTCTTACCGCTCCAGATGGGTGTAATGTTTGGACAAAACATTTTTCACCATGGTGACAGTTTCAGCATAGGTTTTCTCTCCCAGCTTTTTGGCAAAGCTCAGTTTTGCACGAAGGAAGTATCCGACCGGCCACAGCCACTCCTGAAGTGCACACACACAGAAAGTAACCAAAAATTCTTGCCTGTTCTAGAAGAACTGTAAAATCAGTTTCTCCCATCCTCAGTGTTGCCGTCACTCACCGGGCCTTGATGGTAGTTAAAACCTTTTGCCAGGTTGTAGTTGTCGTTGTCCAGTGCATTGTCATAGACACCACAGTACACCATATCACTGATGACAGACAGAAACACTGACAGTGAGTGCCACAGATGAAAACTCTTCAATGCGTAAATCTGGTTATACTACGCTGTCAAACAGATAGTAGCCTTTTTTCTTCATGTAAATATTACATACAGAAACCAGGTGAACTCTCTCTCTCTGTGTGTGTGTGTGTGTGTGTAAGAGAGTGAGTTACTCAGGGTCGAGGGTCTTCATTCCCAGTGGTCCGAGAAGTTTCTTCTCAGCCACATCCAGAGCTTTCCATGCTCTCTCCACAGTGAAGAGTTCAGGAGCCTTCAAAAACACATGGTGCCATGAAGCAGCCAATCAGAGCGAGGTGATGTAACGAAGCAGTCAGAGAAAAAAAAACATCACGTCATCGAGGTCAAAGAATGTGTGTTCTCAAACCTACCACAACCATGGCGATAGTGAAGTTAGGTCTCAGCTGATAATCACACCAGGGACTGGAGGCCCCGTAGCTGTCCTTATAGATGCCTCTTTTATGGACCAGCTCAGGGTGTTTCTCATTAGGGTCCTCGGGGTCTCCAGACACCCAGAAACCTGCCTCAAAGGCCTTCTGCAGCTGCTGGTTCCACTGGGAGTACAAGACCAACCGTTCTTTACCTGCAACACAGAGAACACCTAAGGTCACCACAGGAACACGTCAGTCTTTACACACAAGTGTGTGTGTGTGTGTGGGTGTGTGTGTGTGTACCGTCTATTTGCATGTTAGCGCCCTCATATGGAAAGAGTCCTTTGGCACGAAGCTCCACAACCCAGCGCACTGCTGATTTACTGAGACCAACTATCTCCACAGCAGCGCCATCTCTGTCCACACACAGACATTCACCAAACAAACGTTGAGTTAATGAGTAAATGAATAAACCTTAGGTCACCAACTTAAAGCAAATTGTAAAGATTTAAAGCTCTGATTATGTATAAAAATCACCGACAGGCCTCATCAAAATGTTACCTGGGAGTAGCAGGCATGCCTTTGTTCCTGGCTCTGTCGCTCTCTCCCATCTTGTCCATCCATGTGCCACAGTTAAAACGGTTTCCTCCACTGACGAAGCCTGTCGCTGGATCCACTTTAACAAATACGTTAAAGCCTGAAACAGAGGGCAGTCGTCATGTTATCGGGGGGTTGTTCTGCAGTTACCCTCTATGACAAACACAGACAGACTGAGTCTGACCTTCATCCTTCATGTGCATGTCTATCTTCGGTCCAGCATTTCTCTCTCTGAAAGAAATCCCCTGCAGGTGGCGCTGCAGAGCCTCCTGGATAACGTCATATAAGGGCTGCTCCTGTGTGCACAGAGATATGCAGACACATAGATGTAGGTCAGTGATCCCCAACATTTTACTGTTACTGCAGACCGGTAATATCGTTGAAGGATCAATACATCTTTAAAATAAAACATCTTTTTTTACTTTATTCTGTTAGTATCTGAGACATGTTGTTTTGAAACATGACCTGCGGACAGGTGGTTTAGAACACCTGAGTTAGAGTATGTAGAAACTCACGTATGTATAAGTGCACGTGTGTGTGTGTGTGTGCGTGTGTACGTACCACCTCTCCAGATTTGCGTGGTTCACAGTCATCGGTGGGGTACATGCGAGTGACTGGACACCGGAGGATTTCGTGTCCGTTGGGAACGTGGTTAACGTAGTCCTAAACACAAACAAGAAAAGACTTCAAATTAATGCCATGCTCATTAAAAAAGAAACTTTTTTTTTTGGGACCGTGACCTCAGCCTATCAGTACCTGAATGCACTGCAGCCACCACCACACAGCATCACGACAGTTGTATCTGGCACAGATACCTTCTCCCAGCAGATTGGGGATCAAACCATGACGCAAAGTCCCAGCAAAGGCCAGGATGATGTTGCTGTAGGAGGAATGGTCCGGAACAGTCAGTCAAACACAGACATCTTGAATAAAAGATTTTTTTAAAGCAGCAGCCAAACCCGATCAAGAAGTAGAAGTAAAGATACGACATAAAAACACACACACACCGAGCCTCAGTGTGTCTCCCAGTCAGCATCATGAGTCCTCTGAGAGCAATAAAAGTGTCTCTGCCCCAGCAGCGGAAAATCCCAGCAGAGAAATGAGGAAGTCCTGAAAAAACACGAGAGACATCACTTAGTTACTCTGAACTGATACTACTGACTCCTACTACTACAACTATTACTTTCAAAATATTGTCTGGGTATAGTTTATACTGATTATGATCTGTCAATAACAGTGATATAAAATTTGATTATTTTTCTCATATATATATAGTAATTACTGATAATAATTTAATACTATAATGTGTTGATGGACGACCTGCAGCCAGTGAGACACAGCACTGCTCCTTTTCGCCTGTGGTTGGACTGATGCGATAGGGGACACCGTCTAATTTTGCAGAGATTGGAGGAAGAACAGGATGGCGTCCAACGCCACTCATCTGGAGTGAACCCAGGGCCAGGTGTCGCACAAAGGAGGAGCCGTCCTGGACAAAACTGCAAAGACAGGTAAAAAATGTCCAGACAAAGACACTAGATGTTACTCAGACCTTTTATACACAGTATATATATTAAATATTTTTGTTTGGTTTTTTTAATGAGTGACATGGTACCTGGACATTAGCTTGAATGTGGCGTCCAGTGCTGTGGTGTACGTTGAGACGAGGATAGCATCAAAGTAACAGGGGATGAGGTACCGTGGGATGTGTTTCAAGTATTTAAACATAGCCACCAACCACTGACCCACCTGCAAGGAAAGAGTCAGATTTACTTTCACCATCAAGTGGAATGTTTTCATCTGGTTTGAGTTTTTCTTCACTGAGAAATGTGTCGAAGCAAAGACTACCCTCCCGCCCCCAAAGCCTCACTTGTGCCAGTGGTCCCTCTTTGTGAATCAGTCTGTCGGAGACAAAGTCTATCAGCCAGTCTCCTTGTCTGAGGTTAGCACACACAGGATGACCCAGGTCATTGTTAGGTCGGATGTCAGCCAACACTGACATCAAGCCTGGAGGAAGTGACAACAAACGTTACATGTACACACATTATATTTTTGTGTGAAATATGCCTGAACAGAAACATTGTCTTAGACAATATTTTAAATTCATAATTTGCGTCAGGGTTGCGTCAGGGTTGGTCTCTACCTTGTAGTCCAGCATATTTAAGAGTCTCCCAGCCTGGAATACTGTAGCAGCCGCCGCCATCTTCCTGTTCTTCGGTGTCACAGCGAAAGAGCAGATAATTCAGGTCTGCCAGTGTCAGTTTAGACATGAATCTGAGAAACACAATGAAAAAAAACTTCTTTTATTTAAATAGTTAAGATGGAATCACAGTAAATGTCAGTGACTGTAAGCAGTTACTGTTACTAACACAGGTGAACTCACGCTGCCAGAGGCTTCTGCAGAGCTTCTGGTGGGTTTTCGTCTACTGTGCTTCCTTTCCTGTACTTAGGGCTGAACTGGGACAGATAATACCTCAGCACACCCACCATCTTCTGAGCTGTGGGGTCCAAACTGATCCTGTGAGGATGATAGTGAGGGAGGCAGAGAGTTTAAAATGAAGTACAAATTCACTGGGTTATTCTCAGCCTTTCCTGTTTGTTTGTTTGTGTGTGTGTGTGTGTTACCTGAATGATATGACGCTGCCTGGCGTCAGCTTCTGAAAGGTAATTTCCTGCACAAACTCAGATCGACCTTTAGATGTCACCCCTGCCTGCTTGACCACGGTGCTCTGCTCGATCTAAAAAACCAAATGTTTTTCTCTTTTACTTTTTTATTCTTTTATTTTTAAAAATAATGCTGTGGATGTCAGTAAAGTTCACAGAGGTGTTCACCGGTATGTGTTCCTTTATTTCCACAGTGTATCCTGGCAGACCGTTGATGTAGGTGTCACTCTTCTTATAGCCCCCAGCCCCAGTCTCCACCATCCTGGCCTCCAGCACCACCTCCTCTATTTTTCCTGCAGTGACAGAAAGAAACTCAGTCAACAGCTCTATTACTCCTCTTTCGTGATAAGTAAGAATGTCCGATATTAACTTTTTCCAAACACTTAATTTCCTGGTAATATTTATCTATTTATATCCGATATTACAACCCTAGTTGTTAGGGTTTGACAATTCACACTGTAACCGTACCGACTGTTGGCAAATGCAGTGATGTCATTACCTGGTATGAACATGGGCGGGGCGTTGTTGTCATAATGGTGGGTTTTGGGGTCCCAGAAGGCCGTCCTAGAAACGGTCACCACAGACTGGTGTGTACTGGGACAGTGTCGAGTCACCGCGACGATGTCTTTATCCACTTGGTCGACGTAAACCTGATGAGAAATTAAAGCCGACCTGACGTCCTGTGTAGTACAATACTGCACATACTTGAAAAAAAAAATACTGAATGTGATATAAATGCAGGCTTTTCAAGAATAACACTTTAGGTCAGGTGATAATCTAATCTAATCTGTGATTCACCTGCAGGAATCCCTGTGTAGCCAGTTCTTGGTGCAGCTTGTTCAGAGCTAATTTTCCAGCAATGATGCCACTACGAGGTCCAACCTCACCAATGGAGGTGGGGGATGCTGAGGGGTTCCACTTAGGATAAACACGCTCCTCCTTCACCACAGAGATCTACACACACACACACACACAAAACAGTGTGTTTTAATCTGTCAGCTGTGTTTATGCTGTTTGTTTAGGTGCTGTTTGTGTGAACGTGTGTTTGTGCGTTACCTGATGTGGCACCAACTCGTCGTACCCTCTGGTGGAGCCAATTGCGCAGCAGGCCATGGAGACAATAGCAGAACTGGGCAGAGAGTCCAAAGCTGAGCGCAGCTGTGAGTCACACACACACACACACACACACAGATATATTTCTTGGTTTAAACACACATGAAAAGGTAAAGAGGTAGATCATAGCAAAAGTAACTGAGGCTGGAGTGTGCCATGTAGTGGTTTAACTGAAATGCTGTACCAATATTCAACAGACCAGATTACAAACCAAACAGGCCAACATTTAGCCTGCGAGCCATAGTTTTCCTATGCCTATGCTCCAATAAGTTTACAGCACAAGTGATCCTCTTTGTTTCTGGCTGATTTTTGAGAATCGACCATGAAGTTAGTATCGTCCAACTCACCTGTATGGGACACTCATTGTCATGTGTTACATCAAGGAACATGGCATGGGCTATGGAGGGCATCAGTGGGCGGAGACTCGGCTGAACAAAGGCTCCGACAGGTTCTCCTCCGTAGCGATAGACGAGTCGACCCTCCTCGTGACTGTCTCCAGCTGACATGGCCTCTGAGAACCGATGGTTTTTAGAGTGGAAGGAGAAGTTGGTGAAATTTAGGAACAGCAGAGGGCACTGTGTCAAAACATTCACAAATCCAAGCATCACAGCAAACAACAGTCTGATACTATAGATCTAAGTGACATAGATACTAATTAGGTACCTCTAATCAGTGACGTGATGCCTAGCCTGGTAACGAAGATGTTATCCAGGTCCTCACTGCCGGTAAACAGCTCAGCCGCCACATACAGGTTAGGACACACTGTTCTGGCCATGTCCAGCATATACTGTCAGTTACAGCAAGGCAACATGCAACAACCGAAGGATCAGAGTAGTGGAGAGGGAGAGCGTAGAAATCATGCACAGAAAAAAGATGAAACAGAGCAAGAAAGGGAGTGGAAGTAGGAGGGCACCGACAGCGGTGAGAAAGGAAAACACACACCGTGCAGTTGAACATTAGAAAGGAGGATAAAAAAAGGCAAATATGCAGGAAAAGAGGAACAAAAAAGAGACAGAACAACAACAGAAGTTAGTTCAGGCCAGGGGTTCGTACCTCGTATGAGGCTGCTAATTCCCAGCCGGTTTACAAACACATTGTCAATGAGCTCGCTGCCAGTAAACAATTCAGCTATTACATACAGATTGGGTCTGACTGCTCTGGCTGCATCTAGCATCGCCTGGACAGGACAATACAAGGACAGTACAGACATGGAGAGAAGAAGAAGACGATGCAGTCACTGTGGAACAGTCTTCATTGGGATTCTGGACTAGTCCTTCAGAGCATTTGTTTTTGTGTCTATGTGTCTAAACTAAGGGAAATGTCTTCTGTGGATGTTCATCAACCTCCCTCCCTCATTATACATACATATATAAATAGAGATATATAAATATATATGATATATTAAATTTCATTAATCTCATATATGAATGAGATTAATGAAATGAGCTACAATGCTGCCATCTAGCGACTGCAAGTTTCACTTTAATATAGAGCATGATATTAATAATTCAGAATAACTTGCTTATCTTTACACTTAAACATTTTTATATTGTTTTAAGTTATTAAAAGACATATAGAAGGATGCCTGTGTACCTCGGCGACGTGTAGCGGAGTAGAGTGGCAGTTGTCCAGTCGGACTCCATGAAAATACGTGGCTGTGATTTCAGTGTATTTTTTCATGTGAGCCCACAGATATGGACAGTCCTCAGGGCCGCTGCCGTAGCGCAGCTTCACACTGTCACCCCAGCAGATGAGCTCTCGGCGCAGGTACACATTGGAACCTGCACATACAGTAAGTCAGAGATGCTCTGGTCAAGTTTCATTTGCGTGAAAGGAGGAAACGTAGGGTGGGTAGCAACTTCTTAATCACTTATATTGAAGACTAAATATTTAAGGTTTTTCATTCAACATGTTCCTGCAGCTGGAGAACTTTTCTGGATCTACCTCGCTCTGCAAAGTTGCGCAGTGGATCGTCACCCATCACCCAACCATTGTGGGCAAGGAAGTGACACATCTTGTCTGGTTGGTCAAGCAGCTTCATTTCTTGCTCCAGAGTCATGTCCTTGTACGGGAAGGTGAAATACCTACAAAAAATTAAATAATAGAGGAGAGATGAGAGAAGAATCGAGTTACAAACAGCATTTTCATGTTATATACAGTAGAATCATGTTGAATATTTTCTCTGAACCAATTTTAAAAGAGTTACCTGGTAACCAGTGGGTTCTTCCTGTTAACTGGACCTAGCTTTGGGCCATGATCGGCCAAACGCTCGTACAATACATTTCCCACCATGCAGTTGGCAGCCTGGAATTAAAGAGGACAGAATAAAGGGCATTGTAAGAAACAAAAATGTGAGAATACATTAATGGCCAATTATAGAATAAAGGAAAAGAGTTGAAAGTTTTTTTAGTAGTAAAACAGTTCGGGGAAACATGATACTGGTCATGTGACATTTTGACATTCAACCTCTTGGTTAAACAGGATACTGGTGACATTTTGACATTCAACCTCTTGGTCATGTCTATCGTGTGTGTTCATGTGACTCCTAACACATCGGCCCAGAACCTGATCTGGTCTGCAGACATCGTAAATGCTTCACATAAAGATGCCCAACAGTCATTAAAAGCAACACTAAGGTCATACTATACTATAAACACCAGTGTCCAATCATAAAGTAACTGCAATAAACACATTGTCTGAAATAACACATTGTCCTTTCAGTATCAGTACAAATGCCTTCTCACAGCACGTTGTACCACGTCCAGTACCCACTGAGTTTTACCTGATCCTGGTGCGTCTGAACTATGTGGTTCTGCTCTTCGTTCAGCTGCTCCAGTTTGTTTTTCAGCCAACCGCAGCATTCCTCGATGTGCTGAGGGGAGGAGCTAGAGACAGAGATGGGAGAGGAGGGAGACAGCACTCTGTCAGTGCATGGATATATGTTGACACAATATACATGACTGGACCACAGAAATAGTCTGGTCTCATATTCCCAGGGTGTCAGAGCAGACAAATCTAGTTAACTGTCCAACATCGACTATCTGATGACTCAAACCAACACCTCAGACTTTTTTTGCTGACTCTGCTGTTTGAAATATGACAATATTTACTGGATTTCAAGGGAAAATAAATGACAAACCACTGATATAATTCCCCACTGTGGTACAACAGAGAAAATATTTCAACTGAAATTCCTATGCTTTGCTGCACCGCCCCTGCAAAAAGTCCATGACCCTTAGAGATGACACGCCCCCTACTTTAGGAAACACTAATTTACTCTTTAATGTTTTATTTGCCTACCTTACATCAACATTTCATGAAATTGCAATCACAGTAAAAGCCAGACCTGTGGGGGACAAATGTCTCCAGGGCAGAGTCCATGTCCACTGTGTTGCCATAGCGACGGTACTCTGGATCCTGGATGATCTTTAGGCCTTTCTTTCCTCCTGTTTTCTTGTGGTCTGGCTTTGTGCCTAAATATGAGAGAGAGATGTCAAACAAAATTTACAGTTAGGTTTACATTTCCCACACATTGTTTTAAACATGGTATGTTTATTTATAAAGAGAACTCTGTGTTAACTCTGCAGACAGATGACTTTTACTGCAGTAAAAATGATCCTGACAGTCAGTCATGTGTACTCTTCCAGCAGAATAAAATCTAACCACTGACGTGTTCCTGTATGTCCTGTGTTGTTTTAGTTTAAGTCTCCTTCATCGTTAAGGTTGACTGAAACCAGATGCATTGACGTCCATACCATTCTGTAACAGGATTCTGAACTGCTCCACGGCACTGCTCACTTTGACCTGGAAAAACTCCCAAAGTTTGATTTGAGGAAAGATGTCCTGCCACAGCACACTGCGGATGGCCTGCAGAGACACAGACAGAGACACAGACAGAGACACAGACAGAGATATTATTATATTGACTGTATTGTTTATAGTGTCCGTATGTGCCTGTGAAGGTGTGGGGGATTCCTGCATGTGCGCTCACATTGAGATGACTGTCACTGGTGATGTCAGCAGGGAGTCCTTTAGCAGCGTAGCGTCCCTCGGCAACCCTGGTGGTCAGATGCCAGAGAGCTCTGTCTAAGACCCAGGCTGGACGCAGGTGGGGGGAGTTGATCAGGTTGTATCCACACTCAGGATGTTCTTTGATCCACACGCTGTTAGCAGCTGTGAACGACATTAAATTATTAATATTATGTATATAAACATATACACAGTATATGTACACATACATGGACATACTGTTTTGTCTAACACACTAAATGAGGCTCAGGTTTGTCCTTAACCTTTAAACCAGGCTCGTTTTACTGTGTTGACCTTTTCTGAGGGGGCACAGGCAAACAGAACAGGGTAAAGTGCTGCGTGTCCACAGCAGGCACACAGTCCACATCCAGACTGCAGCTGGTGTGTTGGTTTGTTCAGGAATCAGTCACATTTAAAAAAAAAAATTAAACAAAAAAAGCTCTCACATGCAGCTAAACTTCAGGAAAGTTCTTGCACTGCGTCTCTGTTATTGTACACGTGTGTGTGTGTGTGTAATGAGAAGACATGCATCGGCGTGACACTGACCAGTGTGATTGTACACCACGTCAGTGATACACAGCATGTTCCATTCTGTCCTCATCTTCTCCACCAGCGCCCCGACATCCTCCCAGGTGTAGCACTTCCCCTTGGGGCTGAAGTCTGGACTGAAGGTGAGCTGGTCTGCTAAGGAGTAACAGGATCTGGATTCTCCCAGAGTCTGAAGAGGGGTCAAGTGTATCATTGTGTAGCCTGAAGTAAAACAAGGATGAGAGTGTTGTTAAGACCTAAGAGTAATAAAATGAGACGCTAAGGAGTGGACAAATAAATAATGTTGTTAAATGTATTTAAATATACAAGCAGAAACACACACCTGACTCCTTGGCCACTCTCAGTCTTGCCTCCCAGTCATCCAAGTGTCCCAGACATTTGGCCAGGTAGGTCTGAATGGTGATGCAGTCCAACGGCAGGACATGGTTGTCTGGTCCAACACGAAGGACAGGGTCAACCACAAAGTATCCTCCTCCTGACCGGTCGGTGTTTCTGTCATTAAAACACTTCATATCAGGACATTTCA